AGCTTGTCCATATCTCACCATCCAGAGGCAACCCCCATGAACAATGTGATGGTTTTCCTTCTGGGTGTTTCTCTTGGCAGAACATGCATATATTTATTTATTTATTTTCCCTAAAAACCCGAGATCATACAATATTCACCGTTTTGTGTCCTCCTACTTTTCCCTCAACAAGGCGCCACAGACATGTTTTCCATGTCTGAGAACACCATTGTCTGGCTGGCCCATAATTTATTTAGCCATCTCTTGCTGGTAGGTAATTGGGCAGTTTCTAATTTATCACTGTCATCAAGAAAGTGCAGTGAACTTACTTGTAAAATGCATAGGTTTGCGCTTGCTGGATTATGTATGACTAAGATTCCACATTCTAAGAGTTTGACTTCACCAGTGTAAGTTTCTCTGTCTGTGTTTTAAGACTCTGTGTCCATAGGTAGTATCTTTCTTCCTGGGCAGGTTTAGTGGTTATCAAAAACAAGCAAATACAAACAAAACAAACCCCAAACAAGCAAATATAGGGCCAGGGTGTCCCCAGAACAGCATCTCTGTTGAGAATGCTCATTCCCAATCCTTAGGAAGCAGCAGTTCAGGCCTACATACAGTTGCGGAGGAGGAAGCTGGAGCTCGGGGCTCAGGGTTTGAGGGTGGTGCTAGTCTGGGGTCCAGCTGGCTGTGTACGCCCAGCTAAGTGGTCCACTTCCCTGGGCCTCATCCCCCAACTGGGTCTGACCCTCAGAGCTGAGCCTGTGGGACCAGTCAGTACTGAGAGCCCAGGCAGGACATGATGAGCACAGAGTAGGTGGCACCTCTGGCGGGCACGGTGGTGACAGCCGCCACCCCCGGTGATCCAACACTGAGACTGTTCCAGCCCGCTACGTGTTTTAACTCGCCGAAGCCCCACAGCTACCCCGACACTGGCATTCTTATCTGTTTCACAGAAGGGAAAACTCAGCATCAGAGAGAGCAAGTGACTTGCCCAAGGTCACACAGCCAAGAAGTGGCAGAGCTGAGGTGTGGCCCAGATCTGCTGATTCCCCAGCCCACATCTTATCTCATTTTATTGGAGAACTGCTCCAGGCAGGACTGTGGAACTCCTAAAAGCCCCCGTTTGCCTTCCCAAGATCTAACACTGAGGAAAATCGCCAAACCCAGGAAAGTATGAAGAAGACAATGCAGATCTCCCATGTCCCCATGCCCCACATACTTCTTACAAAAAAATGATATCTGTTTTATAACCTCTTCTTTTTCAACTCTGTAACACACTGTGAAGTTCTTCCTGAAACAGGAAGTTGAGATCCGTGGCCCCATTTCTAACAGCTGCAGTGGGTGCCACTGTATGGCTGCAGTAAATGAATGTAACTAGTCCGCTGGTGATAGACAATTGGGTTCCCAATTGTCCTGCTATCACCAAATGCTGCCAGGAACACTCTTCAGCACAGCTAACCCCTTCACGTGTCACCCTTCACGTCCCAGCTCAAATGCCACCTCCTCAGAGAAGCCATCTTGAACCGTTCCATGTCATTAGGCCCCCCTATCCTATTCATTTGTATAACGTCACCATGCTAACGTCCTCCACTGCAATGATGGAGTCTCTGCTTATTCAGCTTATTTGTTTGGGTGATTGTATAATATCTGTCTCTGTCCAAGGCCGTGTGCTCTGTGAGGGGCATCGACTACCAGGGACTAGCACTCAATAAATGTCTTGGGAATGCAGGAATAGCACAGGGCTGGTGCCCCATCTGCAGAGCAGGTGCCCCTGTTTCAGGGCTTAGAGACACCCATGCCACCCTCTAGGCCATGTCCCCAGCACCAGTTCAGGGACCCAGAGATCTGCCTTAGAACTGCTTGGAGCTTCCAGGCCAGGTGCCGGCCCTGCTGGGACCCCAGCACCGAGCAGTACCTGCCACGCACACAGGAGACACACGGGGTGCTGGGGCCTGGGAGAGCTGGCAGAGAAGCCTCCACTCACTGGCTGTGTGGCCTTGGGCCGGTCATTTCCTCTTTCCAAGCCTTGGTTCTCTCATCTGTAAAATGGGGCCAATACCACTGACCTCACAGGGTTGTTCTGAAGATTAAGGAAGATAATGGACATGCTCAGCTCATAGTAGGCCCTTAGGAAATGGCAGTTCAGGCCACATACAGTTAGTTCAGAGGTTGGGTCTGACCCTATCTCAACTGGATGACTGCTTTTTATATTGAATGATTCCTGGTTATGCCCTCGCCTTCTCCCCTGCCCTGTTCCCAGGGATGACCCATTCCTATCCTTCCACACTTGTCAAATGGTTAAATGCCCTGCTCTGGTCCCTTGGCAGACTCCCAGATGCCTCTTCTGCTACCTGTGGTCACAGCTACCTGCCTGGCCTCCTAAGCCTTAAAAATGCAAGAGGCAGCGACAGAGGTCTGAGGAACAAGTGGAGGAACCCTGCCCTTGGTGGGGAGCTTCCTGGCCCTCGATCCTCAAACACAGCCAGTGATGTCGGCCTGAGCCTGTCCGGTTTCTTCTGCACCTGAGTGCTCTTTGGCTGCGGGAGAAGTAACTGCACTTTTCTAAGCCTCGCTTTCCTCCTCTGTAAAATGGGGGTCGTAATAGAATCCGTGAGGATTCAATGAGATGAGCTGAAACACTTAGTAAGAGCCTGGCATCTAGTAAGTGTTCAAAAAATATTAACTATTATTGTAGTCACTTTTCAGCCTTTTTGCTGTGACGTATAATGCATAGAGAAAAGGACATAAAACAGGAATGCTTGCTGGATGAATTGTCACGAAACTAAGAGTTGCGTAACCACCTCTGGGTCAATAAATAGAGCAGCGTCACAGAAACCGCTCCTGAGCCCCCTCCCAAGCCTTCCAGCAGGGGTGGGGAAACTTTTCCTGCCCAGGGCCACTTGGGTATTTGTAACATCATTCACTTAATGTACGTTTATGTTGCTATGAGGAAAGCTCCTAGCTTTATTGAATTTCAAGTCCCGCCTGCAGCTGCCTTGGCAGGGCCAGACCAAATGATTTCGCAGGCCTTATACAGCCCACAGGCCAGATGTTCCCCACCCCTGCATTATGGCCTATTCTTTCTACAAAATAATCAATTTTTTACTGTTATAATGCTATTATTATTATTATTGATAACAATAAGCAAATTAAAAAATAAAGTAGGGCTACTCTGCACTGACTGAGCCAGGCTCCTGGACTCCTGTCCTGAGCATGGAGACTCCCCATCTAATTTCCTGACTTGGGCTTTGGCTGTTCTTTAAATAACTAGCTTGTTAGCAAAATAGCAGCAGTAACACCTCCCTCGCTGCCGCCCAGGCCTCCATCTTTCCTCACAATGCTGACGGCTGCTCCCCCAGCTCGTGCCAAGGAATCCCGTTCTCCGTCACTGGGCCACACATGCAGGGCTGCCCGCTATGCTGTGCTCTCAGTGGCCACATCCTGCCCCTCTGGCTGTGCCTGGCTTGGGGGACAGAGGTGGACGCTGAGTTTAACTGAGATGATGAAGAAAAGTCAGCACTTAGTGAGATGCCAGGCACATAGTAATTGCTCAAGAAATGCTCGACATTATTCAGGTGGCTCCTGTTACACATCTAGTTCCTGGGGAGAACACGCAGAGACTGGGGCACAGCCAGGAGAATTTGCAAATGATTAAATCCCACAGACACCCACAGCTCTCAGATTGAGATGTCATCACTTCTTTTCCCACAACAGCTTCTCAGCCAAATGCGGCTGCTGTCTGCAGTCCCTACAATAAGCCAGGGGACCGATCAGGGGAGCTGGGTTGGGGGCAGCTAATTAATAGGGCTCTTTTCATGGTTATTAATAATAAGGCTGGCACCACACAAGTGTGCTCCTTGGCCTTGAAGAAGCACTTGTACTTACATTATCTCCAGCGAACTTCACATGCTTTTTTATTATCCTATAACATTTGCATATGATACATATTTACAAGTCTTTTTCCTCCTCATAACCATCCCATCAGGGAGGCTGGGCAGCTGTTGGCAGATGAGAGAATAGAGACCAGAGGGGCTGGCCACCCTGCTGAAGGCCTGAGCTCATTGCCTGCTCTCTGGGGTCAGCAGGGACCAGCAGCTAAAAGGCCACTGAGCTCAGGGCTCCTGATGATGTCTAGTGGAGGGAAGGGACATCTAGGAACTTCCTTCCTTCCACAGCTATTGACTGTGTTCCCACTCTATGCTGGGTACCTGGCTGTCTAGTAGGGGATGAAGCAGTTTAGTGCTCACCCTTGGGAGCAGAGGCCACATGAACAGGCAGATCATAAACCAACTGTCCCATGTAGTGCTGGCTGGTGACTGGTGACCCTCATTTGAACCATGGCAGCCTCGTCTGTGACCTAGACTAGTTGTTCCTGTGTGGCCTGGGAGGTGGCGGTAGGTTGAGGTGGAGGAAGACGGCGAGTGTCAGGTGCTGTGCCGGCACTGAATGGGGGTATGTTCTTGGGATCATCATTGTGGGAAAGATGACAGGACCAGGCATGGGGTGTGGCCAGGGGTGGGCTGCACAACCTCAGACGGATAGTCAGAGAGGCTGCCAGGCCCTGCACCTCATCCTGTGTTGGAGTCAGTCCAGGTGGGAACTGGGGGGATGTGGGCAGAATAGACTGGAGGGGCAGGAACAACAAGGACCCCCAAGATTCGGGAACTCTGATGGCCTTGCCTCAGCCCCAGCAAGGCTCACCCCTCCCCTTCCCTTCCTGAGCCCATGTCACCAACTGCCCAGCCCCTTGGGTATGGCCAGGGCTGGCCTTTGAGGTAGACAGAGCTGGGCTGGCTGTGCATCCTTGGGCAAGTGGCTTCCCCTCTCTGAGGCTGTTTTCTCTATGAAAAGGAAGCCATCACCATGTCCACCTATTGGGTTGTTGGGAGGACTGGACAGATAAGCAGTTAAATCATAAATTGAGCTCAGACTGAGATCCCCTCACCAGCATGTGGGTGTCACTGGGTGGCAAAGCTGGGCATTTCCCAACTGTGCCCAGGACGGCAGACCCAGTTACTTACCAACCAGAGGGTTACGTGCAGAGGAAAAACAGGAACCAGTCGGGAACCAGCAGGCGTCACCTCAGGAGCGGGCACTGGACCGAGGGCTGGCACACACATCCCTCCAGGCACTCAATCAGAGGCAGCAGCCAGTGTGGGACAGGGCCCTGCAGTGCTGGGAGTGACCAAGTTCTTACCACCAGGCAGCTGGCAGAAGTGGAGGCACCAGTGCCTGCAGAGATGGGGGAGAAGGTCAATTAGGAGGTGCCTGGGATAATTTCTCCACCCTGGGACCCTGGGGATGGGCACACCACGCAGCAATCATAAAAGCCCAAGTGTTTGTACACTACATTTTTCTAAGTACTCTGGTATCCCAGCTCATGTGGGCCCCACATTGTTTTTCAGAGGCCTATTTGCATGTCATGCATATTTATGATGCCTTTCTTACCACCCACAGAATGCCCACAGCAGCCAAATCCCCACAGCAGCCGGGAAGCTTAGTTTCAAAGGCTCTGATCCTCCCTGTCTTGCTTCTCCTTCATTTTCTCTGAATAGGGGCAGTCAGGGAAGCCAAACAGTCCTGAGTTCAAATCCCAGCTCAGCCCTTCACTTGCTGAATGACACTGGGCAGGCAGCTGTCCTATTCTGAGCCTCAGTTTCCTCACTTGTCAAATGGTGTTAAGAGTGCCTCCTCTGCCCTGTCTGGGTGGCTTGGTTGGTTGGAGCATCGTCCCATACACCAAAAGGTTGCGGGTTCGATTCTCGGTCAGAGCACATAACCAGGTTATGGATTTGATCTCTGGTCAGGGCATGTATGGGAGGTAACCAATCGATGTTTCTCTCGCCCTTCCTTTATCTAAAATCAAGAAACATATCCTTGGGTGAGGACTTAAAAAAAATAAATAAAAAAGAGTGCCTTCTCTGGGGGCTCCTGTGAGGATTAAAAAGACAATGCAAGTAGAATACCTGGCACCGAGTAGAGGCTCTGTCCCTGTCCCTGCACTCAGAGCAGGAGGCCCTTCACTGCATCATCACCTCCATCACCTCCCACATAACACATCTTGTGCAAGAGGCGAAGGGAAGCCAGGTGTCCCTCTCCACCCACTTCTCCTGAACAGGTGCCACCGCTCCTGCTTGGATCTTTAAAGCAGCAGGGACCCAGTCCTCCTGGGAGAAGGAAAGGGCTCCTCCATCCCATAACCTCCTCCCAGGAGCCTCTGGGCTGCCTTGGAGGCCTCAGTGGCATTCCCCTCCCTCCACCCTTTCATTCATTCTACAGGTGGAGAAACAGACACAATGGAAACCAATTCTGCGGGGGCACAGAATCCAAGAGGTTGGGCCAGGATCTGAACCCAGGCTTCCACCTCTCGGTTGTGCGAGGGGAGGAACAGGGGTCGGTACACAGGAGGAATATGTTTGGATTGATCTCTGGTCAGGGCATGTATGCGAGGTAACCAATCGATGTTTCTCTCGCCCTTCCTTTATCTAAAATCAAGAAACATATCCTTGGGTGAGGACTTAAAAAAAATAAATAAAAAAGAGTGCCTTCTCTGGGGGGCTCCTGTGAGGATTAAAAAGACAATGCAAGTAGAATACCTGGCACCGAGTAGAGGCTCTGTCCCTGTCCCTGCACTCAGAGCAGGAGGCCCTTCACTGCATCATCACCTCCATCACCTCCCACATAACACATCTTGTGCAAGAGGCGAAGGGAAGCCAGGTGTCCCTCTCCACCCACTTCTCCTGAACAGGTGCCACCGCTCCTGCTTGGATCTTTAAAGCAGCAGGGACCCAGTCCTCCTGGGAGAAGGAAAGGGCTCCTCCATCCCATAACCTCCTCCCAGGAGCCTCTGGGCTGCCTTGGAGGCCTCAGTGGCATCCCCCTCCCTCCACCCTTTCATTCTACAGGTGGAGAAACAGACACAATGGAAACCAATTCTGCGGGGGCACAGAATCCAAGAGGTTGGGCCAGGATCTGAACCCAGGCTTCCACCTCTCGGTTGTGCGAGGGGAGGAACAGGGGTCGGTACACAGGAGGAATATGGAGAACGGGGCCATCAGTGGTGGGGGCGGGTCATCCTTCTCTCCTGGTCATGCCCGGGCCCTGGAAAGCCCTCACCTCTCTAACTGCCTGTATCTGCACCCACTCTTTGCCAAGCCCTTCACAAGCTTGTCAGCCTTTCCTTTTCCCCCCAGCCCTACAAGGTTATCACTATTTTCCAAAGGCAGGACTAGGCTCAGGGAGTTTCAGTGGTTCCCCACGGGCACACACACCGAGGAGGAGGCAGAGCATCTAATTCCAAGACCTGGCACTGAACCCCTGCCTCCCCCAGAGGAAGGTCACCAACCAAGACAAACAGGCACAGCCGTCTGGATGAAAAGTGGTTAAGTAGCAAGAAAAGAAAATGCCTAACTCCCCCAAATTCTGAATTAGTGGACACAGATTCTTAAAGTTGCATAAAGATTTCAAGGTGCACCACGGGGCATGAAATTGCCAAGGCATGAGGATCCAGGGCTTGGAAGGATGTGCTCCCAACCAAGTTGTCACTTTTAGCAAAAACCAGCCAGAGTCCAAAGCTGAAGGAAAAGAGGCGAGAGCAGAGGGAGGCGCCTGTGCAGGACAGGGGGGCAGTGGCCCTGACCTGGGGGTCCCGAGACCTGTCTTGGAGTCCCCCTACTTCCTTGCTGAGGGACCGGAACGCCCCACACAAGACAGTCTCTTGTGTCCCTGTCAGCACTGATGGCGTTTAAATTCCAGAACTTCCAACATGGATGACCGTCGAGAATATTATGTGAAGTGAAAGAAGACCAGATAGTGTATGATTTCACTTCTAGGAAATGTCCAGAACAGGCAGCTCTGAGGGACAGAAAGTAGATGAGTGGTTGCCGGGGGGCGCGCTGGAAGGGGATAACAGCTAAGATGTTTGCGGTTTCCTTTCGGGATAATGAAAATGTTCTAAAACGGACCGTGGTGATAGGTACACAACTCTGTGAACATACTAAAAACCACTGAACTATACACGTTAAATGCATAAATTATATGGTATGTGAATTATATCTCAAAAAAAGCTGTTACAACAATCCAACACTAAAAAAAGAAAAGATTCTTTGACTTCCAAATGGGTAGCTGTTCCCTGGAAGTCTGCAGTCCTCCCAGGGTTCTCCTGCTATGGCCTGGGAATCCAGCGAGTTTCCCAATAAGCCTCCCATGTCCCCCCCCGACCCTCTACCCCGAGGCCTTTGCACTCCACGTTTACCCACTCCCTGACCTCCCAACTGGGTCCGGTTACTGGCTCCTCAGTCCCTCGCTCTCTCCTTCCGGCCGCCTGTCGTGCTGAGGTGAGGAAAGCATTTCCATGATGACTGGCTGACCCTGCTTCCTCTATCAGACTGGGAGCTCCATGAGGGCATGGATCGCCGTCCCTTGTCAGCCTTGTCAACACTCAGCACAGTGCCTGGCATAGAGGAGGTGCTCAGAAATGGATGCTGATCGAATGAATGAATCAAAATTCCAAACCCTGTGATGCACACTTGGCTTCTGGTCCTGGCTCCACCACACTCTGGCCAAGTGATAAGTGGGCAAGTCAAGTAACCTGAGAGTCTCAATGTCTACCTCAGGGAGTAGCCAGGGGATTAAAAGGGGTAATGGCCCTAACCAGTTCAGCTCAGTGGATAGAGCGTCGGCCTGCGGACTGAAAGGTCCCAGGTTCGAGTCCGGTCAAGGCCATGTACCTTGGTTGTGGGCACATCCCCAGTGGAGAGTGTGCAGGAGGCAGCTGATCGATGTTTCTCTCTCATCGATGTTTCTAACTCTCTATCCCTCTCCCTTCCTCTCTGTAAAAAAATCAATAAAATAGATATTTTTTAAAAAAGAGCTAGGAGGAAAACCAGTTCCCCTTTACTAAATGTCTGGGCAAAGGTTGGCCTAACAACAGAAAACCTTTCAAAAATAAAAATGAAATAAAAGGGATAATGGCCATGGAAAGTACTTTATGAAGTGGCTCCTCCCATAGCTGCCCCCTCCTTCCAGTCACTCAGGCCCACATCCTGGAGTCATCCTTGATGCCTCTCTTTTCCTCACCCTCCACATCCAAGCCATCAGCAACTCCTACCGGATCCACCTGCACATCATATCAAGACATTCATACACCACCTGACGGCTTCCAGCACCGTGGACGGAGCCATCATCATCTCTGACCTGGATTATCCATGTCCTCTCTTATCTCCTGCTTCTGCTGTTGCTCCTGACACAGAAGCCAGAGGAAGCAGGTTAAGACGCAGGTCAGATCCTGACCCTCTGCTATGAACACTCCATGGCCTCACTTCACCTCCACTAACGGTTGGCAGCCTTACGAATGCCCGAATGCCGCAGGTATCACCGCCAGTTCTCCCCTTTGCCCCAGCTACTCTGGCCTTGGTGCTGATTCTTAAATAGACCAGCCCTGCTGCTTCCTCCGGGCCGTGGCACTTGCTCTTCCTCTGTCCGGAATGTTGGTTGCCCAGATGTCCGTGAGCCTAACGCCGTCCCTTCCTTCAGATCTTTGCTGAGACCTGACCTTGTCCACGAGAGGCCGTTCAGCATAACGGTTAAAACTCTCCACTGAAGAGCATGGGCTTGTGGTAAAATTCAGGCTCTGCCAGTTCCATAGCCGAGTGACCTCGGGCAAGTTTCTCAATTTCTCTGTGACTCGGTTGCTCATTTCTAAAATGGGAGTAATGACAGCACTTTCCTCGTGTGGCTGTGGTGAGCGTCAATGATTTCAGTGAGCACAACCTCCATGTCTGCTGATACCACTGCCCCCCACCCACTCCACCTAACATTCCCAGGGCCTGATCCTCCCGGCTTTCTTGTTCTCCTTGGCACCTGCCACTATGTAACAGGACATGAGAATGAGTCATTGATCCTGATTATTGCCTGCCCCTCCCACTAAAACGTCAGCCCAACCAGGTAGAGAGTTTGGTCTCTTTGGTTTACGGCAGGTCCCCAGAGCCCAGCACAGCACCCAGCACGTGAAGGTGCTCGGTGAACACTTTGCTCAACATGTCTTTTCAATGCTGGGTAAACAGTTATTGTCATGCGCTCTGCGTTTTCCCTCCTTCCTGCCACTGACATTTTTCTCTCCAGTTGAGCTGCAGTTCCAGGTCTGCATAGTCAAATTCCTACGGGCAGTTCTGCCTGCCACCATGTGGACACCGCACGCTCTCTGTGTCCAAGGCCTAGAGTGTGACCTTC